ATTATTAAAAAATTCTGCTTCTATGTATGCCTCCAAAATAACCTTGTAAGGTAATATGACATGAGGTATCCTCTATGGGATGAAAGAAAGCTTTGTGAGGAGCTGAAGACTTAAGACTTTTTAGACTTAGCAGTGTTAGCAAAGTACATCTAGGTCTTTGCATATGCTTTTCTTTCCTTTCCTGTTTTATCCTCTTTTCCTTTCTTTTCTTTTCTGCCTATGTCTTGTTTCAGACAGATTCCACCAAATTCACTTTTGTGCCATTTCCCATGAGAATCCCATCTGACTTCCTAGACACAATTCCATTTAGCCATTTCAGTTTAAATTCTATTGGTTACCTCCATGTTTCCAAAAGAAAAAATTGCTTATAACATATATTTCTTTAAATTCTATTTTGTTTTCAGAATTGCCTCTGCTTCCTTGACAATAGCTTTTCTCTGTGTTTTAATCTCTCTCTGTAATGTACAGGTTTTGCTAAACTATGTGGCAACTTGTAGCTATCCATTCAGATTTAAGAATAATGCAGGAGAAAGGCCGGCAGGGTGTCATGTACAAGAGCAAAGCCTTTTAACTAAATGGCTTGGGTTAGAGGAACAAACCTGAACTGTTCCCCAGATGGCACACTGTGAAGGGCTATGCTACGAGGGTCAACAATCAAACTAGCTCATCTAGTTTCCCCAGAAGAGTAGCTCGATTTCTTTTTGTTTGCTTTTCTTTTTGTTTTTAGTTTTGTTATAGGGCGAATGTGCTTGTCAGATAGAGACAGAGAGAAAGAGAGATAAAAGGAAGGAAAGTGAGAAATCACCTCCCTCCGACAAGGGGGTACGCCATGCTATAGTCCCTTATAATCCCTTTACCTCCACTAAACCCTCAGGATTCTGGGCACACACACACACACACACGTCCATCCAGTGTGTTCTTTAAGCTGCCGGTCCTGGACTAGAACCATGCAATCGGGCTATGAGGGATCCAGCCACTTAACCTCTGCGCCACCTACTGGCCCAACTGATTCCATTTCTTCAGAGAAGAACCTCTCTCTGTGACTGGTGCTAAGCACTCTCCTGGAAGCTGTTTTGTGCAGGGGTGGGCATGCTGATTGGGGGCATCTTCATTCCTATTCTCAGACTCTGTTCTCAGTCCCATCTGTTGTCACCACCCTAAGGTCTGCATTTCCTGGGCTCTGCTCCGTAGATCTGTTCTCTTTTGAGCAGTTGGTTCTTTCACACAGTGCTACTGCGCTGTGGTGGAGCTTTTTGTGGGTGGCATCCTTGCAAACACAACTCCAGGAGGTGCCATTCGCACAGAATAGGATGTGACAGGTACCCCTGGAATCTCACAGCACACAGCTGTGTCCTCTGAGGTGATCTGAAGGGCTACTTCATTCCTCCATCAAAGCCTTCCACTGGCTTTCTGTTATCCAGAAATGTGAAAACAACCTTTACCTTTGATTTTCTCTCCCATTTTCTTTATCACTATGGGACTGTCTTTCTGTTGTTGTTCCTTTTAATAGGGCCCCAGGGGGAAAAGGAGATTAAGGTATGGGCTGTGTTTGTGAACTTTAACCTGAAGCACAGAGCTCACACGGTTAATGGGGATGTTGTTCTGCTTTGTTTTGTCTGGGATAGTTATAGGTGACTCAGACAGCAATTTAAAAATAGCAATGCCTCTATGGCAGAGGGTGCGATTAGTTTTGTTGTCTCCATGATTCAAATTAACTGGAAATCTGAAATATTTCTACTTATTTTGTGTCAAGTAAATAGCAATTTAGATAAAAATTTTATAAATATATGGCCTTTCAAATGGCATTCTTTTTTTTTTTTAATATCCTATGTAGTTGCTTTTCACAAAAGCATTAGGAAGAAGAGTTTTGAAATAGTAGAATTTTCAATTTCAGCTGACTGCCTGCATTCAGCACTGTAACAGCTTAATGGGAAACTCTCTAAAGACTCGTTGGCCCATGCAAAATGAAAAATAACTTTCCCACCATGTGTTCAGTGACAATGATTATATGCCACACATCATCTCGATCTGACAGCCAGCTGGGGAGATACAGCATGAACTTCAGTGTTCTGGTCTCTGTAGAGAATGACTGAGATTTTCTCTGCTAAATATTTGAGTAATGCAAACCTCTTCCTACTTCAGATGTTTTATTTTATATCCAGGAAGGTACTATATAAATAAAAAAATATGCATTTAAAGAGAAAGTGTTCAAAATGGTCTCCAAACTAGGATATACAAATACGAGTTTTGTCTGCCTCTTCAGAACACTTAGACTAAGTGTATCTTTAACTGGTAAATAGTGATGGTCTACTATGTACCCACTACTACTTTTTTTAAAAATTAATTATTTTTTGGAGAGGTTTTTGCTATAGGGCACGTGCGCTCGCCAGACAGACAGAGACAGAGACAGAGACAGAAAGCGAGAAATCATCCCCCGGGGGGTCGGCCCGGCCGCAATCCCTTCTCCTCCATTCTCCTCTCAGGATTTTGGGCACACATGCACACGTGCCCGGCGTGAGTTTAAGCCACCGGGTCCATGACTCAAACCGCAGTCGACTACGTAGAAGTCCAGCGACATAGCCGTTACGCCAACTGCTGGTCCCCCCCACTACTACTTTTATACGAAGCTGTTGAGTTCTATGCTATGCTCCCTCTTGGCTATAGAGGAAACTCAAACTTCAGAGAGGTGAAGGGTCTTATTTAACTTTTTTTTTTAAAAAAAAGAGATATTAATTTAATTTTACTTATTCATTCATTTATTTTAATTTGACCAGAGAGAGAGAGAGAGAGAGAGAGAGAGAGAAAGTGAGAAAGCAAGCCACCAGGTCTGGACTTGAACCATGGTTGGCCATGTGGGAGTGTCTAATGCCTTAAATAACATGCTACCTGCTGGTCCCTGGGTCTTGCTTAACATTAACAACAAGGATGGCAGAGGCCAGGATTCTTTGACTCTACAGTTTTCTGCTTTTGCAGAGAATACATAATTTTTTATACTGCATTATGCACTATAGATAAACTACCTTCTTTTTAAAAAAAATTTTGGGGGGGAGGGAGGGAGGGATAGAGGGTGAGAGGGAGGGAAAGTGAAAATACATTCCACATGAGGATGGTCAGGCTGCAATCTTTTCTCCTTTTCTCCCTCCTTTTGGGACTTTGGGCAGGTATGCACATGTCTGGTGGATTTTTCAAGCCACTGGGTCTTAACACTTAAACCAAGCAGTCAGTCACATGGGATCTAGCTGCCTTATTCACCAGGCCATTGACTGGCCCACGGACTACTTTATAGCACTTGGAATAATGAAGCACTATAACATGGATCATATAGTTTGTTTATGTATTGTTTTGTTTACAGAAAGGGAGTCACTCTTGTGTTTTGAAGTCAGAGTAAAAGTCTTTACATTTGGGCTTTATCTAATCAGAGAACTAGAATTGGTGATTATGTCTGTCATTGAGTTCATTTAACTCATGTGGAAAACAGAAAATGCAAAAAAAATGCTTTTTAGCAAATTACTAATAAGCTTAACTGATGAGAGGAAAGAAAAAGGTTTACAAATCACTTTAGAAAGAAATACCATTATTTATTATAGCTGGAAGAACTCTCCTTTGTGCTAATGACCAAACTGTGGAATGATAGTCATGGGATCTCTGCCAAGGGAGGCCTTCATAAGAAACAATAAGGAGAGGCAGAAATGAGAGTCAAGATCAGTCCCCAGGCTCTCACCTCCACCACAAACAAAGCATCAGCCTCACAGCAGGTGCAGAGAGCTCCAGAATCATCCCAAACTGTATATTGTTGATTTTATTCAATGATTTCTAATATTAGAGTCGATTCTAGTTCATTATCATTTTTTCACCCTAGGGAATCTCTACTCTGTATAACTTAGCCTAAAAGTGGTTTTGAATGGAGTGACCGACCAGTTGTCTCCAGTTCAATAAAATCTTTTCCTACACTGTAGGGGACTGAACTGTGCAGTGGAGTCAGACTGGATTTCAAATTCAGCCTGAGCTACTTTCTCTCTGAGTGTCCTTGGGAAAATTACTTTACCTTTCTGAGAATCAAGATTTAGAGAAAAGGATACTCACCTCATAGGATTACTTTAGGAGGAAAATCAGATAAGACAGAAAAATGGATGTATAAATAGGTAATAAGTAGGTAGATAGATAAGAATCTGGCAACTAATAAATATTTGGTAACTGGATTCTTTTCTCTTCCCTTAAAGGAACATCCATGAATTTACACTGTCAAAGATTCACAGAATTCTCAGCTCAAGATTATGTACTCTCTGAGACCACTCTGACCTGCTCTTCTCTCTCTGGTGCTCATTCTCAGCCAAGCATTCCTCCTGGGTCCTATACTAATTCCTTATGGGGAGCAGCAGATGGCGTAATGGTTATATCACTGGACTCCAACATAGCTGACTGCAGTTCAAGATCCAGACCCAGGAGCTTAAAACTTATGTCAGGGGTGTGTGTGTGTGTGTGTGTGTGTGTGTGTGTGTGCGTGCCCAAAACTCCTAAGAGGAGAATGAATGGGAAGAGATTGCAGCATGGCCATCCCCCCAGGGAGTGATTTTTTTTGCATTTTGTCTCTCCGGCCATCCCCCCAGGGAGTGATTTTTTTTTCATTTTGTCTCTCTAGTGAACACACGTATCCTGTACATCTCTCTCTAAAAAAAAACCCTTATAAATATCTCATACAAAGCATAAGGCTTAACTGTATTTTAAGTATGTGTTTTTATTTCTCTCACTCAGTCTTGACAGTGAGTCTTCTGAAGTGAAAGGAGAGATTATATTTGACTTGTTAAATCTAATATCTGGCATGATGCTTACCATAGAACATAGACTTTACAGATATTTGCTGACTGAAATAAATAAAAGACAAATAGGCAGGAAAAAAAGTGTGTGTGTGTGTGTGTGTGTGTGTGTGTGTGTGTATGGAGAATATAAAAAAAGAAAACTGAACAGTTTAGTTTGAGAGCAGCACTGTACAAGTATCTTACCCTTCCAAGGAGATGGCCCGTTGGAGGGTCACTGAAGGCTGCCTGGTTGCAGTGCTGTGTTGAGAATGACTGCAAGAAAAGAGAGAAAAAAACAAATATGACTATAACATGGATCATTTATGTAAAATATCTTTGCATATTCTAATCAGTATTACTGTCAAGAAAAAAACAATCTTGAAAGAAATACAACAGAGATGAAATCTTTGGCGATCAGCAGAACCATCCAAAAAATATACAGCACTCTATTAGATAAGAGGTTAATATTTCCTTATAATTTTATTTCAATGGGACCAGCAGATGGTGTAATGGTTACATCACGGGACTCCCACATAGTCGACTGTGGTTCAAGTCTTGGCTCTGGCGGCTTGAAACACACACCAGGTGCATGTGTGTGTGTGCCCAAAGTCCCGAGAGGAGAACAGAGAAGAAGAGACTGCAGCGTGGCCATCCCCCTAGGGGGTAATTTCTTGCTTTCTGTCTCTCTAGTGAGTGCACACCTCCTTAGCAAAAATAACTTTAAAATTTTTTTATTTCAATAGACATTATTTAAATAATTGCTTTAAATAACAGGCAGATATGAAAAGAATTGCTTTAAATAATAGGCAGATATGAAAAGACTCACATATATTTGGAAAGGTAATTTTCTCCATTAGAATGAGATAATAGAGAATAAAAACTTAAATTTCTTTTTAAAATTTATTTATTTATTCTATAATGGAGGGAGAGAGAGACAGAGAGACAGAGACAGTTACAGCACCTCCTAACAACATCCTGACACCACGATCTTTCCCCAGCCTTAGCCAGCCTACATCACAGGCACATGTGTGCCCAGAGTACTCAGGGACATTTCCAGATACAAACCCATAACCTTCTCATGTAAGTCTGCCTTGCAGCGTTGTGTTTTACCTCTGCACCACCATTTAGTCTTGTAAATGTCATTATGATGCAATGTATTATTTTTTAAACTGGAGTACCTTGTCTGTAAATCAGAGCAGCATTTGATTACCCTAGTTTATTAGTTCAAATTTAAAACACTTGTAAAATTAATCAACAACAACTCAGTTCTTTGATGAACATCAAAACTTGAAAAATGGTACATCTAGTTGCATATCAATCTTAGAATTCAATGTAATTCCACATTTTGTTTTGGTTGTATGTAGTAAAAAATTATTATTTTGTAGATAAACAGTTGAAATACAAACAATTATACATAAGTTCTTTAGAACTTGTACTGGCTAAGTAATTTTTCTAAGTGTTTTATATTTTCTATAAAAAATATATGTATATATACACATATACACACACACACTTTTTTTTCCTTTGAGAGATTTTTGGTATAGGATGTATGAATTCATGAGAGAGAGAGAGAGAGAGAGAGAGAGGGAGGGAGGGAGG